AATATTCTGGAAGTGCTTGACTTACCAAAACGAAAAAAATAAAGATGATGAATTATTTCGGGAACTTAGAAAGACTGATGCGAAAATCAAGTAAATGAACGCTTCCCTTTGCTTCGGGAGAGACCACAGGCCCTCCAATATCTTCCTCACCCGAAACGGGCAACAGCGCCTTAAATTCTGCACCGAATTCCATATTTAAACTTCGTCTCCATGGAAACAAGAGTTGCTTTAGTACTTACGCAGATTTGAACATTCCTATTTCGTTACGGTCTTAAGCGTTTTTACGTTCCGCTCCCTGGAGACTTTATTTTTATTTTGTATTTGATTTTTTATACGAAATACTGCGGCGAGAAAAATCCCTAGTAATGGTATCTTGATGCATGTGCTTCAGCTGTCTCGAAGTATTGTTCTAGTAGTAAGAAATGTTATCAAATTAAACTCAAGTAATTAGAGAAATCAAGCATTATTAGTTTCTTTGCCAAATGTTTTTTCTATTATACAAAGTTTCGCGAGAGAGGCCGGACAACACGCGTCCTCGGTCCTGGCGCTAGCCTGTGGACACAGACGTATTTCCGGCCGTCGCTTCTCCTGCTCCACCACCCGGGTGGAGAGAAGCGACGACCGGAAATACGTCTGTGTCAACAGACTATTCTTGCACTTGCGCTGCTTGCCACTTTAGACACTTTAGGGCACAGTAACCTGGTTCTTGTTTCTCGACAGTCCCGGTAACTTTTTGGGCATGGAATCTTGTTTTATGTTTCCTAAGGTTGCATTCACCATCAAAGTTTCAGTAATATTGAAAATGATATAATTAAACTATCAATTAGCGAAGCGGAATTGACTGATTTGTGAGCTTAGAGCTGTGCTACCATACTAGTAGGAATAGCGTGAGTAAGGACTTACTTTCGGTAGTAAGACCTAAAGAAATGAGTTTTATATGCACATGTTCGCGCATTTCAGCATCGTTACCAGTTATACAAATCAACATCAACCAAAGATATCTTAGAGTTTTTTTAGCGAACCTTAAGAGCCCCAAGCGTTATCTATTGTAGCCTGAAAAACGGCCGACATTTCGCGACGCCACCACCGGGTTTCTCCGCTAAATGAAGTCTGAGCAACATGTGCAGAAATTCCATGCTGATGACGCGTCACTACCCAGATCTGGGTAGTGCTTGTAATTGGCTGAAGCAAACTTTCCTCGCGTAACGACCAATCAGAAGCAATACCCAGATTTAGCGAACCTTCAGAGCCCAAAGCGTCATCTATTGTAGCCTGAAAAACGGCCAACATTTCTCGACGCCACCACCGTTTTTTTCCGCGAAATGACGTCTTAGAAATAACTGCAGAAATTACATGCTGATGACGTGTCACTACCCTGATCTGGGTAGAGCTTCTGATTGGTTGAATCAAATTTCCCACGCGGCACGACCAATCAGAAGCACTACCCAGATCTGGGTAGTGACGCGTCATCACTATGGAATTTCTGCGCTCGTTTCTCAGACGTCATTTGGCGGGGAAACCGTAGCCTGCGATCATGTCCTCTCCCTTTATCTCTGTACTCTGTTTTTCCCTCTCGAGCCAAAGAAGCCAAAAAAAAAATAATAACGCCTGATCTCAGGTTAGNGGACAACACGCGTCCTCGGTCCTGGCGCTAGCCTGTGGACACAGACGTATTTCCGGCCGTCGCTTCTCCTGCTCCACCACCCGGGTGGAGAGAAGCGACGACCGGAAATACGTCTGTGTCAACAGACTATTCTTGCACTTGCGCTGCTTGCCACTTTAGACACTTTAGGGCACAGTAACCTGGTTCTTGTTTCTCGACAGTCCCGGTAACTTTTTGGGCATGGAATCTTGTTTTATGTTTCCTAAGGTTGCATTCACCATCAAAGTTTCAGTAATATTGAAAATGATATAATTAAACTATCAATTAGCGAAGCGGAATTGACTGATTTGTGAGCTTAGAGCTGTGCTACCATACTAGTAGGAATAGCGTGAGTAAGGACTTACTTTCGGTAGTAAGACCTAAAGAAATGAGTTTTATATGCACATGTTCGCGCATTTCAGCATCGTTACCAGTTATACAAATCAACATCAACCAAAGATATCTTAGAGTTTTTTTAGCGAACCTTAAGAGCCCCAAGCGTTATCTATTGTAGCCTGAAAAACGGCCGACATTTCGCGACGCCACCACCGGGTTTCTCCGCTAAATGAAGTCTGAGCAACATGTGCAGAAATTCCATGCTGATGACGCGTCACTACCCAGATCTGGGTAGTGCTTGTAATTGGCTGAAGCAAACTTTCCTCGCGTAACGACCAATCAGAAGCAATACCCAGATTTAGCGAACCTTCAGAGCCCAAAGCGTCATCTATTGTAGCCTGAAAAACGGCCAACATTTCTCGACGCCACCACCGTTTTTTTCCGCGAAATGACGTCTTAGAAATAACTGCAGAAATTACATGCTGATGACGTGTCACTACCCTGATCTGGGTAGAGCTTCTGATTGGTTGAATCAAATTTCCCACGCGGCACGACCAATCAGAAGCACTACCCAGATCTGGGTAGTGACGCGTCATCACTATGGAATTTCTGCGCTCGTTTCTCAGACGTCATTTGGCGGGGAAACCGTAGCCTGCGATCATGTCCTCTCCCTTTATCTCTGTACTCTGTTTTTCCCTCTCGAGCCAAAGAAGCCAAAAAAAAAATAATAACGCCTGATCTCAGGTTAGGGAAACCGGGAGAGCGTCTCCAAATGTCGGCTGTTTTCTCAGGCTAACGTTGGTCAAGTTAACGGCAAAAAAAAAAAGATGGCCCCTAGAGAATTTTGTCCTCGACCGTAACTTATAATGAAAACAAGGATCACCTGGCCTTAAATTCCTGAAAAACATCCAGCAATGGTCGCAGGATTTTTACGTCCACGCAGACGTCCTAAAACAACTCCCCCAAATCATGCTAAACACCAATCATCGATTGTTCGGCTCTCAATCATCGAATCGAGGTACTCCGCGAAAGTTGGAACGAGAACAAAAGACGAACTCGCGCGGATCAAACGCTTCTACGCAGGCTAATAAACTCAACTCATTTGTAGAAAAGGATTTCTTCTACCACATCTCGTGCTTTTATGGGGCTATGTACGCCATTTGTTATCTTTTTATAAATCTAAAACGCAGCAATCAGATTCCAAAATAAGTTGTTAAAGATGTCATTTCTTGTCGAACTTTCACGGCTATCGGCGACTAACTCCATTGGGATTGTGGTTAGTCCAGATGCAGGTTTTGGTAAACATGCATGACGAAAAATAAGTGAACTTCGAAATCAGTAAAATTTGGAAATTTGTTCAAACAAGCTATCGTCTTAAAAATTCCGCGTCGAGATCTCTTAGAATACTGTGAAAGAAATATAATCTGATCAGCAAAGGGGTAATATCAATATAATTTGCAGCCATTAAAAATCAGTATGTCTGTCTCAAAGACAGTTGAGTTCTTAATTTTTCTCTGGCAGTAACAAGAAGTTGTTCGATAATTCAATGATTTGTACAAGACCAAAATGTGTCATTGCTGAATATACTTTATTGCTTACTTTCTGTCCTGATAAGAAAAATATTGAAAATTAAGGTTATTACATAAGAAGGGCTGACAGACTTGACATACAAATAATCTAAGGAAAAACTTGAATTTTACTTTTTTTTAATACGCAACATCCAGCTAAAATTATTTATAACCGAAAAAAGGACAAAAAACATGATTAGATAAAATAATGAATTTTTTACTCATCTCTGTTTGTACGGAAGAACTAAAAAATACACAGCCGGAATTGCTTTAATTCTAATATGTTTATATAGATGAGCTGTCGTTTCTGAAAGCCGTTGGCTCTATTTTGCTATATACACTAAAATTAATGTCTTGGTTCGCTGTTTGGCTTTATCCCTTGGACGTGTAAACAGCGACGGATAAACCCAGCAGAAACTAATGATCCGTCCCCGTGCTTGGCTGGGACGTAGCTGAAAGAGAGAAAGAAAAAGGTGTTGGCGTTTTGACCCGCGATGTTCTATAAGTTTTGGCAGCTTCCATGGTTTTCATACCCCACTGTAGGCTCGATTTCAACCTCGTCCCCAGGGTCTTCTCGTTTTCCAATATGACGTTAGTAGGAAAACGAGAAGACCCTGGGGACGAGGTTAGGCTCGATTTCCGCTGCTCTCTCGCATGGGCTCATTTCCCGAACAGCGGCTGGTAATCGAGCGTAACCCCACTACAGAACCAATCAAAATCCAAGATGTCTGGAAGGCGGATTCCGAGAAATTCACTGAAAAATATGAAAGGAATAGAAATGAAACTTGTCAGAACGCAGGACTCCGACTTGAGGACATCTTGGACTTTGACTGGTTCTGCAATATGTAGAGCCCATCAATCTATTAAAATACTTGTAGTTCGAGGCAACAAGATATTGTACAAAAGCTTGTCTAGTAGCAACGGTGGCGCAGTGGTAAGTATAAGCAGTGTTTATTAGTGGACGACCATTTGACTGTCGAACTCTCGAAGGGTTGGGGGAGGGTGGAAACGAAAAAAGTTAATACTTAAGTTGAGTCAATAGTCTTATATTTACACCAAAAATTAGGAAAAACGTGATCACAGGAATGGCCTGGGAAAAAAATTCTAGTTCAAACAAAGTCACCTAACTCCTTCCTCCCTCCCTTGCTAACGAACTACACCGATCTGGAATATTGTTGCGTGAAAACTTGTTATTTAGCCTCCACTTGTAGTTCAAATATCCCAGACTCTTTCGTCTCTGGATTAAACAGAGTACTCTTCGGGCAGTTGTTTGTTTCGCAAATTTTGCGAAACAAACAACTGCCCGAAGAGTACTCTGTAGTGAATTGTTAACGAAACTCCGGTTTCATTTCCAGTCTAATGATCAAGGACTAGAAATCAAAGGGTTTAGGATTAAAGCACTTTTCGTCTAAGAATCTTAACCACGTGATCATCATTCTATCTCAACTCGGTGTGACAATCTTACCTTCATTGGTCAATAATGAGAAATCAAATGTCACGTCATCACCAATCAGCACGAACGGCGCCCATTGCCTCACTTCATTGAATTCACCAGACTCCCGCATCAATTTCATGGCTTGATTGAGAGACTTACTTGCGCTATGGCCTGCAATCAAATGTTCGTAGAAGTTTCTCATAAACTCCATAGTGGCTTTGTCTTCGATTGCCCACAATGACGCAATAACAGAACGGGCACCGGCCCCCAGAAAAGCACGTGCAATACCCACAACTCCTTCAGCACAGATCTTCCCTTTCCCAGTGTGACAGCAGCTTAAGACAACAAGCTTAGCACGCAGCTTTGCCTTCAGCACATCTTCCATTGTCAAGAGAAAGTCCTGCTCTTTGGGTTTTTCGGGACTACCATGATTAGGAGACAAAAGAATCTCACCGGTTTCTGAACGACCATGAGCTGCAATGTGCACTAAGGAAACTGACTCGAGTCTACTTAATACTCGTTCCTTGGTAGCGTTCTTTCCTGTTAGAGACTGAACGTTTAGCATTTTTTCAAGCATTTTCACCTCTTTCTCGGCCCAAGGGAGCTGTCCAAACCTTTTGCGGCCTAAGCGAACAGTTTCCACCCATGGATCACCAACAAGCAGTACACCAGATGTGCCATGGCGGTCCTCTGGACACTCTGCCAGCAGCATTAAGCTGGTCACAGATGGAGCCAATCGAATTCTCAGCGTTTCAGACAAATACCTGCCACTCTGGTCCACAAGGGCAGCGTAAGGAATCAAGAATGATGCTCCATCAGGGGACAAGTTCATTACCATTTAGCAAGTGTAAAAACGGAGCAATGATGATATCATACAACTTTTTCAATGCATCATCACCCTCTTGTGGTGGAGTTGATTCTTCCTCATTTGTACCCCTGTCGGATGACTCCTCGATCTCTCCAACGTCTATTCCATCCAAGGAACGATCTTCGCACCTGACGGGTTTACCAACCTTCAATTGTTTATATGCTTTCTCAATCAAACAAACCAAGGACTGATTGGTTTCCTTTTGCAGAAACCGCAACTGCTGACCTTTAAATAGCAACCAGAAATTCACTGCTTTGCCTGGGACCTCCGCGATAAAGATCGTAGGTGATGAAATATGGGTTGAAATGCAGGATATTCTTTCCATCTGCTCCTCCGACGATAACTGAGTTAATTCGACGCTGTATCTTGATTTCATGAGATCCGTGAGAGCTTGTGCTCGTCCCCGCTCAGCTGTAAAAAAGGCCTCCATGGTCTTGCCCTGAAGTAATTGAAGACACCATAAATTTGTATAAACGCTATGTTGATCTCGAAAACTGATTTTCCATTCGTCGTTGTCTTGCAGAAGATCCCTCACTTCTTCTAGCAGTTTGATACTAGATTTAAAATAATCCTCAGCTCTGGAAAAGTCGTCGGGGAATTTCAGAAAAACTATCCCAAGTAGTTTGTACGCGAAACGTTCTAGTCCTTTGCTTCCAGTCTCTTTTCCGATACTAACAGCATACTGAAGGAACTCGAATGCTTTTTCAAAATCCCTTGAGGCATAGAAATGACCAAGGTGCGCATATGCCACTCCTTCTTGAACTTTATCTCCAGTCTCCTTTGCGATTTTAAGAGACTGCTTTAAGAATTCGAATGCCTTTTCGACATTACCGAGAAAAAGATGAAAACTACCAAGGCCCTGATTTGTTCTTGCTTCTAAAACTTTGCTTCCAGTATCTTTTGCGATACCAAGAGCCTGCTCACAGAACTCGATTCCTTTTTCTAACTGCCTGAGAGAGTAGTGAGTTAAAGCAAGGGCAACACACACTTCTACTTCTAACTCCTTGTTTCCAGTCTTCCTCACGATGCGAAGAGCCTGCTGACAGAATTCGATTGCTTTTTGATACTGCCCGAGAGAGCAATGAGCACTGCCAAGGTTTAAATATGTGTTTCCTTTTGAATCTTTGCTTCCAGTCTCTTCTGCGATACCAAGAGCCCGCTCAAAGAATTCGATTGCTTTTCGGACCTGCCCGAGAGAGTGATAAGCAACGCCAAGGTTTAAATATGCTTTTTCTTCTGAATCTTTGTTTCCAGTCTCTTCTACGATACCAAGAGCCTGCTGAAAGAATTCGATTGCTTTTCGGAACTGCCCGAGAGAGCCATAAGCAATGCAAAGGTTTAAATATGCTGTCCCTTCTGAATTTTTGTTTCCAGTCTCTTCTTCGATACCAAGAGCCCGCTGATAGAATTCGATTGCTTTTCGGAACTGCCCGAGAGAGTGATAAGCATTGCCAAGGTTTAAATATGCTGTTCCTTCTGACTTTTTGTTTCCATTCTCTTCTGCGATACCAAGAGCCCGCTGAAGGAATTCGATTGCTTTTCGGAACTGCCCGAGAGAGCCATAAGCACTGCCAAGGTTTAAATATGCTGTTCCTTCTGACTTTTTGTTTCCATTCTCTTCTGCGATACCAAGAGCCCGCTCAAAGAATTCGATTGCTTTTCGGAACTGCCCGAGAGAGTCATAAGCACTGCCAAGGTTTAAATATGCTGTTCCTTCTGAATCTTTGTTCCCAGTCTCTTCTGCGATACCAAGAGCCCGCTCAAAGAATTCGATTGCTTTTCGGAACTGCCCGAGAGAGCCATAAGCATTGCGAAGGTTTAAATATGCTGTTACTTCTGAATCTTTGTTTCCAGTCTCTTCTGCGATACCAAGAGCCCGCTCAAAGAATTCGATTGTTTTTCGGAACTGCCCGAGAGAGTGATAAGCAATGCCAAGGTTTAAATATGCTGTTCCTTCTGAATCTTTGTTCCCAGTCTCTTCTACGATACCAAGAGCCCGCTCAAAGAATTCGATTGCTTTTCGGAAATGGGCCTTTGAAAAATATAAGCCCCGGGGCTTATTTTCGGAATTTTACGGTATCTTTCAAATTTTTACCCCTTAGTCCGAAGTGTGATTAGGATCAATTTTCCCCTAACAATATCAGGACATAAATCAAGGGAAAAAGTTGTGAGAAATAATTAAGTGATGACCTTAACGAAATTTTGTGTAAAGATTACTTACAGCCTTCATTGATTCTTTTCCCCATGCACATAATCTGCTTTTTTTAATTCTCTCAAAATATTGCTTATTTAACTTCTATTTTGTGACAGTCAATTTCGTCGCAGTCTTCGCAGTCTTCAAAAGATGGTGATTTGTTAGCACCACAACTTCTAACAAGGTAACAGTGCAGATATGATACTGTAGTGAATTCCATTATGCTTATTCTTGACCTTGGTAATCAAACTTCAAAAAATAAATTCTAGTCTTAAATTCTCATCCATATCAGACGCCAGCATCTAAACCTAATTAGTAAAATCCAACTAGTGGTCTATCATCATTGCGTTCTGATTGGTTGAGCTACTACTAGGCTATATGTTATAGCCCACTAGTAGCGCAAAGCGCCGGATTTTTGGCGGCAAAAAAGGATTAAAATTTTGCTTTAAGTTGTTTTGTCTCGATATTTTTGACCAATTAGTTGGATTTTAGTAAAACAATTATTCCTCTCGCCCTCATGGCCTCTGAGTCAATAGCCCATTCGGCCTTCGGCCTTATGGCCTATTGATTCAGAGCCCATTCGGGCTCGAGGAATAATTGTTAAACAGAGATGGAGGCTATGGACTCTCTCTGCGATTTTCAGGTGACTAATTCACGTGACCACACAGAGTGTTTATTGCTGATGAAGACTGGGCGATGCAGTCAAAAGCTAAAAGATTAAAATCTGAGACTTTGAGACTAGAATTTATGTTTTCATGTAATGAGTAATGAATGAGTGTTAGTTCTTGCCTGGGATAACCATTGGTAATTACAATATATTTCTTGGTATCTACCTGTGGGTCTGTAGTGCAACTGCAACTCCTAGTAGGGCCCAAACCAAATCGAAAATAGAAAAGTGACAAATTTTGTTTTGTAAAACACTGGAAACCTTATTGATGGTACCATGTCAAGGTTCTGCGAAATGGGTTTCATTGTATTCAAGACTGGTCACACCATCGGTCACACCACACGAATTAAAGCCACTTGGTAGTATTATCCTCCTGGAGATCTTAGTGGAGCTTGCTTTGTAACTTGACCAGGCATTGACCAAAGCTTGTAAATAAGTAGATAAATAAATAAAATAGTTTGTTATGCCCATAATAAATGACATAATTCAAATTCTTTCGCCGAGATAACAGGATTGTGTCTCAGTCACTTCACCTTTTAATTACCGACCCACCCTATGAAAAATTCAACCCCCCACCCCCCCCCCCCCCCCCCCCCCCCCCCCCCCCCCCCCCCCCCCCCCCCCCCCCCCCCCCCCCC